AAGAACACAGAATTTAAAAAAATAGCTTGATCTCTGATGTGCAAACAGGATTCATTAGCAGGATATTTTAGCTGAAGCTTTTTAAGATTAAAAAAGATAAAACTTTACAATGTACCCCCCTTCCTTTTAGCTCCATGTTGTTCATTGGAATTCAGACAAGTATCCCAGCTTCGTTGAGGCAGCTCATGAGCCTGACGGACTAGCTGTCTTGGGAGTATTTTTACAGGTAAGAGTAAAGTGATTTGATCGAAAATATGTTATCAGTTCTTTGGCATGAGTTTTGGTTATGGAGTGGACATGCAATCATTTTGTCAACAGTAAACTGGTTTGTTGGGGCTTAATTTTTTCCTGCTTTTGAAATGAACATTAAACATGTACATATATGCACATGGCTCATCTAAAGACCTAGAACATTTTCATTATTATTATTAATTATTAATATTATTATCCTTGGATCATTGTTATTGGTATGGTAGCAACAGCAATCAGACCAACAACAATAGCAGCAGAAGTAATAGCTGTGATCCTCAAGGGGGAAAAATCCCAACAACTCTGTTCTAGGCTTATCCTGGTTACGAGATGGGAAAGGAATGAAGTTCGAACTCCTGGTTCTTGAAACACTAGTCTGAAAATAGTGACTTATTTCCACAAGTACTGACTTTAAAAAAAAGTTTAACTTTTGTTTTATTTCCTTTTGCCTAGTATTCACATGTGGTCAGACAAGTATCATCATCATAAGACCTGTGGGTGGACTGGGCTGCCCAGCTCCCACTGTGACTGCATTCTTGCAGGGTGTGTGTGTTTACCATGTCACATACCTCTGTGTGGGATGTTGTAACTAGTGGAGTTGGGCTGGCGGAAGTGTGGGGTGAGGCAGAGAGTGATGTGCACAATAGCAGCCCTTTTCCTTTGTCCTCCAGGTCTGAATGATGGTGATGAGATCCAGGTGGGATAGAAGATTTCATTTTACCTGTCAACTATGTTAAAAACTTCAGGCTGATTCAGTACATCTAGCCAGAACCTGTCAGGGCAACATAATTATTTTCTATCAATGGAGAACAATAAAAATGTAGTAAGACTGAATGCTGTTAGAGGTGGAAATTTGTGAGACCTGGAAAAATAAGCCTGTCTCATTGAGTTTCAGCTCTCACAAGTTTTAACTGTATGTTCTTTTTTTTTTCTCATTATATTTTTCTTTTATTTTGGGTTTCCCCCTCATTCACATTGTATTTAATACAATCATTCCCATACATTATGTCTTATAAAAGGAGTCACCATTGATCCATGCCCATATTAACTGTATATTCTCTTGAGGAGTTCTGTTCTATGGGGACCCCAAATTGTTTTAGGCTGCAAATATTATTTTGTGTTTAATTTTTATTTTGCAAATGAACAAGTTTTATTATTACAGAAAGACAGTAGCTGCTCCCAGAATTGTTTTGCAGGGGTAAGAAGGGGAGGCGTAGGGATGGAGGTGATGCATTGCCCATTATTGGGAAGAGCCCTGGTAGCATAGTTAAACACTCAGCTGCTAACCGAAAGGTCAGCGGTTTGAGTCGTTGGACACCCTATAGGAGGTTCTCCTCTGTCCTGAAGGCTGGAAATGTGGGTTTGGTGTTTTGTTTTGTTTTTTTTTCTTTTTAATTGAGGTTTTAATGAAAGTTTATAAAGAACTTGGGTTTCCAGTTGTTCATTGTTGCAACTGTAAATGTTTTGATGCCATTTATAGTAAGTTTAAGAGAGAGCCCTGATGGCATAGTGTGTAAAATGCTGAGCTGCTAACAGAGAGGTTAGTTTGAATTCACCAGCTGTGCAATGGGCAAAAGATGATATGAAGCAGGCCGTGTAGAAACACCATGGAGGGTGGTCATTGGTCAGGACCACCTGGGCAGTGATGGGCTTTTTGGTGTTTGTGTGGTGCAAATGTTTTGTGTGCTCAGCTGCTGACTGAAGGACTGGAGATTGGAGTCTACCCAGTGATGCCTTGGAAGAAAGAGCGAATGAGCTACTTCCAAAAAAACTCAGGCATGAAAAGCCAGCCAATTAGTAGTAGTGGTTGTAGCCAGTTTGGATGTCTGAAAACTCAAACTCATTGCTCTCAAGTCAAAACCACCTCACAGCTGACACTTCCATTGGTTTTCTGAGGCTGCCCATCTTTCTCCCAAAGAAAAGCTGGTGGATTCGAATTACCGACCTTCAGGTTGGCAGTGCAGCTCCTTACACACTGCTGTTGTTATTGTGTACATTCTAGATTGCCAGAACTTCTCAGTTTGGACATTGGGTCTGAAAAGCATGCTAATGTAATAGTGCAGCTATTATGTTAGAGCTTCCCAAACAAAGCTTTGCTCAAGGTAACCTATTTTGGAAACGTTTATGAAACTGAAAAATATGAAGCTGTTACTACTAACTTTCATTAACTGTTACTAAGTTTTATAATCAACCCTGATGGTTCAGCCAAAAATCCCTGTAATATAATCTTGTTCAGATTCTCTGGCCTGATAAGACGAGCAGGTAAAAGGGCTTTGTTATAGAACAATCACTATTTGTTCTGGGATGGAATAGACTTTTATTTTTTTCTTCTTTTGTCATTCTTTTTATTTTCCTAATTTTTTATTAGAAGGGTTTATTTACAAAGTTCACATACATTGTTTTTCATATCAGATCTTTCCTATTTCCTTCACCCCAGTGTCCTTCCACCCATCAAATTGTCCCACCATGTGATTAATGTCTCATCCCATCAGCTGCCCCCACCCATCCCAAGGCCTGGAATAGCATTTTAAAGGGATAATGGAAAATAGTGACAAAAGGAATAGTTCCGTTTCAACTGGATAAAGTAACAATTTTCATTTGAAATTTATTTTCAGATCGGAGAACATAATTCCCAACTGCAAAAGATAACTGACATTCTCGATTCCATTAAAGAAAAGGTAAAGTGGGTTACTTTTTGCTTAATATTTGAACTTGGGGTCAGTATGAATCGAAGCTGACTTGATAGCTTCCAACAATAACAGTGGCTAACATATTCCTAGGAAGCCTGATAGCCGTGAACAATGAACAGTGGCTCGTTGTTCAGCTGCTGATGAGGTTGATGGTCCAAACCTACCCTATGGGAGAAAAATGTGACGATCTGATTCTGTAAAGTTTACAGTCTTGGAAACATGGGGCAGTTCGTTCTTCTTTCAGCTATAGGGCCACTATATCAGAGCTGCCTCTGCAGACTAGTTAACATATTCCTATGACTGTTCTTGGATTTTCTTAATTTTTTTTTTTGTTTATGAGTCTAAATCTTAGACATAGTGTATGCTCCTTACTTTAAAGCAACTATGGAGCACACTGGAATGATACAACAGATGTGATCTATCATCACTCACTGGAAATTATTTAAAATTATTACTGTTGTTAGCTGCCCAGTTGACCCTGTGAATAGGGCAAGTCTTGTACCGTTCCTTTGATTGGCTGAAGATTGTGATCCACGGGGCTTCCACTGACAAATAGTTGGTGACCATGCTTTTCTTCCTAGTCTTAGTCTGGGAGCTCTGGTGAAACCTGAGTGTCATAGCTGCATCAGTGCTCCACTGAAGGATGGCAGTTACCCATAAGGTGCATTGACTGAGCATTGTGACTAGTTGAGAATTCAATCAGTGAGCTACCAATGCTCTCTTATTCTTGCAAAATTAGTTTTTGATAGTGTTAGGGTTTTGTAGGATAATAAGTTTTTTTACTTTTCGCACAGTTTAAGAAATGCTTATTTTGAAACAGATTCTGTGATTTTCAAATAATTCCAAATGATGTGATGATATTGCTATTTTTATAAAGGAGATCCTAAATAGCAATGTACAGTTTCATTGGATGGATATTTTTTGAGGACTTTGCAAAGTGTTACCATTGTAATTTGTGGGAATTTTCTTTTGTTCTCTAGGGAAAACAAACACGATTCACAAATTTTGACCCTTTATCTCTGCTTCCTCCATCCTGGGACTACTGGACGTATCCGGGTTCCCTCACGGTTCCACCTCTTCTTGAGAGTGTCACGTGGATTGTTTTAAAGCACCCCATAAATATCAGCTCTCAGCAGGTATCTCACATCTTTCAGATTGATTTGGAGTCCCTTAGAGGCAACTAGGATGAATCTTTGCTTTTCAGCCTTGCACTTGAAGCCTGTGTTTTCCTTTCATTAATCAGAAAATTGCATGGACCAGATGAGACTTATGTCCCTTTTTAAATGGAATTTCTATGGCAAGATTATTTCTTTGCTAGTTCTCTGGTTTTGAAAATTAACTCACAGTGATGAAAGTGAATCACTGTTTTGAACGCCATTATTTGCTTTTGGTTTTTTTTTTTTTGTGGTCTTAAATATAAATAGGCTGAGATAAAAAACGAAAAGATCACAAAAGGGACTACTGCTCAAAGGCTGCATTCTGCTTTCAGGCCATGGTCCCCAGATCTGTTCCTTTCTCTGATTTCACTTTTGAAAGGTGATTAAGGATTGGCAGAGCGCCCTTAGAAACATGCCCACCTGTTAAACCTGGACACCTTAAATATTTAAGAGTGATCTTTTGACTTTTGTTAGCAAAACTTTGTGGGCTGCCATTAGGGGCTTTTAAACATTTATTGAGAGAAATAATACACCATTCATGTTATTTCTATTATAATACAGGTGGCCCTTGTTATTATACAAGTGGAGATAAATGTCCTCAGAGCGCGCATGCTCTAGGCTAAAACTCTGCCAGGTTAAGGATATCTTCAGTGCTTAGAAACTGTGCTCAGAGCCCTGGAAAGGTGCAGATGGTCCAGTCTGACTGGTGATCTGGTATGCCAGTAGATGTTTTGTGTTTCTATTATTTTTCCTTCTTTTCTGAATTAGGTGCTACAGTCTTTTAGTTTGAACAAAGTCTAGTGATTTTTGCAGCTGGTAAGGTCCTCTTGATCAAGCTAGCACACTAGCTGTTAAGTGTTTCTCCAAAATGGTATATTTTGTAAATAAACTAGTATAATAACAATAACAACAACAACAAAAAAAATATAGGCTAGAGATGATTCTGTTTGCCAAGATCTTGCCAAGTAACATGTTGCTTTTATGTTTAACCTGTGTTGGACATTTCTCAGAATTCTGTTGACCTTTTCTTTAGGAATCAACTCTAATTATAATCTGGGTTATACTTTGGAAAAAAATTTGGAATGTCTGGACAGAAATCTAGCATTTGACTGATGTGAAAGCCATAGTTTTCCCCATCATGTATCAGACAGGTTGTGTCATAAGAAAAAAGACCTGTCTTCCATTTAGTGATTTTTCTTATTCCAGAGAGTTAATTTTCTGCCTCTTTCCATATTTGCTTTTCTGGTCTTTGTTCAATTTCATAAGTTAGTAATAAAAGTTAATAAATTATAACATCAAAATAGCCAATAAAATGGCAACATTTTTCTCCTGTTTCAAGGATAGATAGCTTTGTTTTTAAAAGCCACTTGTAATATAACTAGGTTCTTTTTTTTTTCTAGCCACCATTGATTTCAAAGTATATATCTAAGCTCTATAAAAATAGATGGTTAATCTCCTTAAAAAATAACTTTTTGAAGTTTAGGAATTATAGCTACTTATTATGAGATCCTTATTTTGATTGACTTCTAATCTGGGCCCTACCTCTAGTACTAGAACTATCTGTGTTTCTGTATTGTTCATAGGGTTTTCAGAAGCCTGCTTTCAGGAGGGGATGGCTAATCCTTCTTCCTGGTCTGTCTTAACCTGGAAGCTCTACTAAAATCTGTCCACCACGGGTGACCCCTCTGGCATTTGACAAAACTTGTGACACAGCCTTTATCATCACAGTTCCCACAAGTTAGCTCAGTACGGCAAACTGACAGACAAGTGCTGTACTAATTAGAATAATGCTAAATATACATGAGTACAGATACCCAAGTGAAGCAATGGGCTTGAGTGTGTCAGAGATTGTGAGGTGGCACAGAATAGGATAAAGTTCAAATGTGTTGTTCATAGGGTTGCTATGAGTCATTCTCAACTTAATGACACTCAACAATAAACTATGAGATCACTATTGCAGTTTATTGAAGGCTCAGTTACTATTAACTATGAATGTGGGTTTTGAACAGTAAGAATGTATAATGTATTAGCAACATTGTAGAACTAATTCTACTGTGATTTATATTTATCTCTGAGGCATTAATTTAAATCAGCTGTAGCAAAACCAAATTCAAACAGTTTCATTTCTAACCATGTTGAGATGGTTATCTAGATAGCATTTCCAAAGACTGTAATTTTCATTTTTTGGTAATGTTAAGAATTTGCAAATGAAGCAAATAGATAACCTTATAAAATCTAACATCAGTTTAATCATGAGGAAAATATCAGAAAAAATGTCAATTGCTGGATATTCTACAAAACACTGATAAGTACTCCTGAAAATTGTCAGTCATCAGAAAGGAAAAAAAAAAAGAGAAGGGGGAAAAGAAGGAAATGCTGAGAAACTGTCACACTCAGGAAAAAAATGAATGAAAAACTGACTATTAAAAAATGTGCTGTTCTGAAACAGAAATTTTTTTAAAAAATTAAGTAAATACAAAGGAATGTGAATCAAGTATGAACTTGAGTTAACAGTAACATATTTAGGCTTGCTCAGCCCACCATCACCTCTCTTATTCAATATTGTATTGGAAGTCTTAGCGATAAGACAAGAGAAGGAAATAAGAGGTATCCAAATTGGCAAAGAGGAGGTAAAATTATCTCCCTATTCAGATGATATGATAGTATACTTAGAAAACCCTAAAGAC